ACCAACACACAGAAGGTCTGAAAAAGTTAATTTATAATTCTAAAGAGGTGAATGTCAACAACCTCACAAAGAAATGAAAGAATCATAATTCATATTTTATTGTAAAATTCAGAGTTTACCCAGAATCATATCACTCTTAACAAATCTGTCAAATGATCCCTGAATAAACAAGTAATATTTTCAATGATACGTTTTTATTACAATTGAATACACATAAGTATGTATAAACAATGTCATTTAGCTGTAAATTTGAAGTGAAGAAATGTTAACCTTATATTCTAATATTAAGGGAAATCATTCCAAACACCTGATGAACTACAAATTGCTATAAAGCAATCCATAGCTTCAAACGAGGAACAAACATTAATAGTTGAGAGACTTAAGAGGAACTGTTCATCCCATGGCTTAGAATACAGAGGTCAAACACCAGGGAATGGGAATTGTTTTTTTGAAGCAATCACATGCCAGCTAGATAGAATTGGCGCAGACGTTATTGCTCCCGAACAATTAAGAACAAATGTTGTAAACTACATATCAACACATCCTAGTTTTGAGGTAAACTAATTTACTTGTTAAATACATTCACTAATTATCAAACTCCTCCATGGACAGAAACATAAAGAATTAGTTGGACATGTTTTCAGGGGACAAATCAAAACCGTTGGCAACAATAGTGGCGCATCAGCACAACTTAAATATATGATTTAAATCAGTTAAGAAGCTATTAACACACAAATACCATCAAAAATACTTCCGACAGAATATTAATTTGGAATTGACGTAACTGCCCGTAATACCTGTGATTAATGCAATTTAATATTTAAAGATTTACAAACTGATAAAAGAATAAGCATCAGTTAAGACTTTCATATCAACCAGAATGCTTTTTTCTGCAGATGTTTAAATAAATCATTTACAGTTAATATAGTACAATGCTAAATAATAGGTATTGACAAAAAACAATAAAATAAATAAAAAATGTATGTTATGATCATGATGATTTTTGATAAAATGTAGTTATAAAAGTATTTGTTTTGTATTAATCAATTTCAATGTACAGTAGTTAATAAAGACTTATGTAAGTAGCTTTCTTTCAATCAATAGGGCAGTCAAGGCATTGTGTTATTAGAAAACTTCGTTGAAGACAATTTTCCGGACTACTGTGACAGGATGTTACAGAATGGAGAGTACGCAGACCATGTTGTGGTCATTGGAATGTCCAGAATGCTACAGAGAGACATAGTTATTGTCACCAGTGCTCCCAGTACCAATAATGAGGATAGTGTCCTTTGGGTAACTGGTTGTGATGGTTTTTCCGGTAATCCTATTCTTCTTGGGCACATTTTCGAAAACCACTACCAGTCACTCCAGCCAAAAGGTAACTGATAATAGAAATTATATAATTTATGATTATCTCTCAGAAAGAGATACCTTTACAGTTATAGTTTAAAGTAACGCATATGTAAATCTATGTTAAAAAAATAATGTCTACGGTTGATAGTTGGGAAATATCTTATAACACGAGATATAGTTGTGGAATCTGTTAATCTAATGATTCCAATAAAATTTGATAATTTGTTTAGATTATTTACAAAAAGTCATACTCTTCTTGTCTGACTTCATCGGGCATGATCACCTATTCCAATGACGTCATTATATAAAATTCAGAGGAAAGCAAAATATTTGTCGTCATTATTATATTTCGACTAAGGAAGGACTTCGATCAAGTGACCCACGTTTGGTAAAATGTTGATCAATATTGTGCTCAGAAAGGAATAAATACCATAGAATCAGTAAAATGTCCATATTTATATATTTGATATTTTATCAAATTGTTTTTGGCAAAACGAAATGAAATAAGTTTACTTTAACTTTGTTCTTCATTAGGCATTTTCACATTTTCGATAGGAGCGACCCTAATGAGTCTACGTAGACGGAACACATTTTTAAGCCTTATATCTTTGAATTAGGTAGATCATCACTATATATCTGTATATCGCCATCTTGAATTGTAAAATAGCAGCACACAAGCGACAAAGTTCTTTATTTAAAACTGCAAATTTTGAGACATAAATGCTATTCATTTTTAAAACTCTTGTTTGATAAATGTAAATAAGTGCATTATATCATTGAAAAAATAAGTGTTATTGTAAAAACCGGCTATCAGTCTTTGTTTGATTCAATTTGTCAACTGAGCTAATTAACGGAAGATAACTTATTTGGTGAATTTTCTTTAAAGGAATGATAATGAAATTTCTATTTTTCGCAAGAAAACGGGATTTATTTTCACCCTTTTTCTTTTGATTTTCTACTAAATTGTGGCTATGTATAAGAAAATTATGTCTGAGAAAAAAATTCAGTAATGATCTACCTTAAATCGTTTTACGTTTTTTCACTGTAGACTGTTTTTGAAAAAGAAAAATATTAAAGGAAGTATTGTAAATGTGATATTTATATAAGTTTACTTTACATAATTTGATTACATAATTACTGCATTGATATCAATCAGCATTAGAGGCAAAGTTTTTCTAATTGGCAAATACATTCAGATGCAAAAAAGCTTTATTTTAACAGATAAACTAGTATTAATTATAAATTATTACGTTTTTTTGTTAATTGTAACGTTTATACAACAAATTTTAGGTGACAGTGGCAAACTTGATCACCACACGAATGATAAGCATGCAACAAATGATGATAACCTTTTTATTCCTGTTGATGTGTGCAACGAAGAACTCAGCAACTATAACATGACACATGATGTTGAAGGTACAATATTGTTCCTTCGGAAATGTTCACTAGCCATACTTATCATCAGTGATTTTAAAATGATTTGAATAACTTATAATTAGCGGGAATTTCTCGCTACATTGAAGACCTGTTGGTGACCTTCTGCTGTTGTATTTTTCTACGGTCGGGTTGTTGTCTCTTTGACACATTCCCCATTTTTATTCTCAATTTTATTATAAAAAGTAAAAGTCATTTTATCATCCACTTTTATACATAACCTACCATTAGTATACATAGACGTCAATATTCTATAAAAAATAATTAGTTGTATTATAAAGTTGCAGTTTATAGATACTACCAATGAGCATGACTTTATCGAAGGCTTTTCGAAAGTCAACAATGCATTTAAAACACATTTTATTTCCATTTCTCCGTACTTCCAACGACAAAATTATTATACTTAAATTTGACTTTACATGCGAAATTTAAAGTGGTTTATCTAACGTCATTTTGTCGCAATAGTTGTATCATGTGTCCTCCTTTTTTATTATTAACTGTAACGTCTATGTTATACTGCAAATGCGTTTTATTATTGTATTAATACTGTGTCGCAAAGTATACTTATGTTTATAATTGTATTTTTTGTAACTCGTTAATTGTTTTGTCAGAGTTAAGCCATTTTCCATTATTTGCTTTTATAGTGCGTCTTTTCTTTTAATGTTTTACTGCTGTTTTACGTGTAATGTGCAGGTTTGCGCCTGTTGAAACGTTCAAATATATTATATGCAACTATTTTTTTGTGTTATTAAAATTTGCTGTTACAAAATATTAGAAATTATTATAAATTAAGGAATGTATCTCCCTCATGCAAAGCTCTGATTTCTTTCACGGATTTGGCTATACTTTTTGGACCTTTTGGATTATAGCTCTTCATCTTTTATATAAGCTTTGGATTTCAAATAATTTGGCAACGAGCATCACTGAAGAGACATGTATTGTCGAAATGCGCATCTGGTGCAAGAAAATTGGTACCGTTAATTTTATTGTGCAGAGGTCGTTTGTTGGTATTTTTCATCGATGTCATCATTTGTTTTTAAATTTATAACAAGTAAACTAGTGTTACTACATAGCAATACATATGCTTTTCTTACCCTAGATATGCCATTCGTAGAGTTTGTGAGATCCACCTTCATCAAAAAACGGAAAAATGGTACTGATTGCATTGTTAGACGTTTAAGGTATGGGAAAGTTTATTTTAATCGAAAATATATAGTTTTGAAATCAACTAATTTCTATATGCTACCTTCTTCCTATGACCTAATGGTTTCAATAGAATTAAAAGAAAATAAATATCTATCACAGCAAAACATATACCTTCAGATTATTGAAAAATAACTCTGTTTGTTATTCAGAATAATTTTACTGAACTTCAAATAGTCTTACAAAATATAAAAATCACTGTATTAACAAAGGGATCATTTTTAAGAACTCTATTTTTTGGGGGACAATTTAAGTCTATTATACTATGGTGTAACTCTTTCCAATGTTTCTGAATATATGGATGAATTTTTGGTCACACTATTACACTGAAACATATTGTTGTGTTTTATCAGCTAGCATTTGTGACTTTGGCTTCAGTTTTTGCTTATCATTCAACAGAAATGAAGTGGACAACGAAGACGTCATAACCAAGCATGTAATGGATATAACAATCACAGGGAATTTTATTCACAGGAAAGCAAATAAAACCACATTGCAATACAGGTGTGAAAGGTAACTTTAATCATCTAAGTCGATAATCTATAAAGGAATTTTATCTTGAAATAAATCCACTCTTGTTTTTCTCCAAATAAACAATAAATAGAAAAAGAGAACAACTTTAGTAACAATCGTAAACATTCTTAAAGAATCTATTTACATATCTTACATATCAAATTTGCAAGACAATGCTGAGTTAAAAGATACATTTGTGACAGAAAATAATATTGGTATAGTTTTGAAAGAGATAAGTTGTATAATCTTGACTTCTGGTTGTATGTTATTCTCTTGCTTTTTTTCAATAATATACGTTTTGTGTTATAGTTTATACAGTAATTATAGTATGGCCTTTAATAACAGATAGTTCCGAAAGCTTTTAAACGTATTGAACTATGAATTTTCTGAAATATTGCACAACATTTTTCTCTTTGGTTATCTATGAAGTTAAGATGCATATTTGTTTAAATTTTATCATGTTTATTTTAGATGTAATAAACCAAGAGGACAAAAAAACAGGTCCTTTGAATACCAGGGCAAATAATTGTCAGGCATATGTGTCATTCCAGTATGTTATGTTAATGTAATATTCATTTATCTCTTTTACTTTTCTTTTATGATGCAAAACTATAAATTAATTTATAACTTTTAAGCGTTTGAACATCATTATTTATTGATCCTAACATCCTTGTTGTAGTTAAGCAACCTTTTGTCCGTGTCTTGAGAGTGGGAATTAAATGCATTTATCATATTACTAAACCAAACACATTTAAACAGGTATTCACCGGGCATACACCATTCATGAGTTTCTGGCTAGTTTACCTGACATTTCATGTGATGAGCGGGTCAATACACCCTGTCATGGTTGAAATTATTATATAGAGAATCCCTGTATCAAATTATATAGAATTTGGTATATATCATTTTGATGATAAGTTATCAATTTACAAGGAGAACACAACAACCATAGCAGTTATTCGAAGTAGCCTTACACATATTTTTAGAAAAAATAATCCTTTTCTTCAAGTCCGATAGATCTTAAATATTGCTTACAAGCTGTTTTAATAAATATAATAATGATACGTTTGGCAAAACAGTACTAACCAGTGACGTTGTACATGTAAAAAAAAATCATTAAAGGGCATGTTAATATCTTCTTACACAGATTTTTGACCCATTTGAGTAAAAAAGCAGTAATAATTCGGCAACAACTAAAACACAATGGACACAGTTTACAGATAAAAGAGGAAAAACACCAATCACGCCCAGATCACAGCTTACTGCTTTATATAGATGCTTTACTTGATCAGGTATTCATGTCGTCGGTATTATATATAATTTATTGCTCATAACGAATTGACTTATTTTTCAATTATAAGTTGCTGGCACTCTTATAAACACAATGATAATAAAAATTGTGTATGCTGACATTATTGGAGTTTAATATTTTCTCAACCATTCTGTTCTTTTCGATGTCTGTGTTTGTCTTCCGGCGCATTTTTTCATAATTTGCAAAGATTATAATAAATGAATAGGTTGAAATAAATCAAAAATAAAATGATTAGGATAAAATTGGCTTGCCAGAGAGTCATTAATGCATTTACATAAATATCGGACGCTTGTATGAAATATTTTAATGAAAAAACCAGTTTAAAGCTGAATAGCATTGATGATAAAATATTCTAGAAGACATATATTTTTACAATGACATATATTGATACAACGACATATTTTGTGTTGATTTGAAAAAATCCTTAAGCTCAAAAAGATTTTAACTAAATTTGAAATTAGTTGTAATTGACACGAATTTAATTTTATTTCATTATCAATAGGGGAAAAAACCCATGGAAATATTGTGCAAAGCATGGAAATGGGCTCGAGATCAAGGGCATTTTGATGTGCACGATAGAAGATACTATCTGACACCAGTTGACATTAAGAATATATGTCAACGTTACAAAATGGATAAGAGGTATCAAAACATAATCAAAAGATTTACTTAAAATATGTACTTACTACTTTGTTCTTCTAAAAAATCCAAAGAAACAGGCTCATTGTTGAAGGCCGTATGGTGACCTATAGTTGTTAATGTTTGTGTCATTTTTGGTCTTTTGTGGATAGTTGTCTCATTGGTAATCATACCATATCTTCTTTTTTATATTTGTCTCTACGTATCCAGTCATCGAACCACATCTTCTTTTTTTATATTTGTCTCTACGTATCCAGTCATCGAAAAATAACACATTATCCGGACTTCAGTTACCTCTGATAACTTGAACCAAATCTTAATATTGACAAAGACTTTGCTACCTCTGATAACACTTAACATATACAGACTTTGGTAACCTCTGGTTAATGAACACATATATGGACCTGGGTCGCCACTTGTACCCTTAAATGTTTGTAGAATTTGATAATCACTTTTCACCATTTTGTTAACTTTGGTCACCTGAAACATATATATAATGATACACAGGTATTGACTAGGGCTACCTTAATCGTACTTGTGTTTCCTATGTCTACTTTAGATATGTATATAATCTATATCCCTTTTGAAACCGTACACATATATTGACTTTGGTTACCACTGTTCACCGCAACTTTGGTCACATCTGGACAATTTAAAAAAAAATGATAGCTTTACACAAAGTATATCCTTGGTTCCGTCTTGTTACATCTACATACTTTAGTAAAGTGAAATTTAAAGAGCATTTGGTATTTAGTACCTTACACTCGAAATGACGTTGGTTACCTCCATCACATTTATAGATACAGCCTTTGGTTTGTGGTTCTTTAAACTGATGCACTGTTTGCAAACCCAATGGTTCGTCTGTTAAAATCATTACTTTATTCACCATTTTAATCTTTTTACCAATCTGATTGTAAACATGCACTTTACACAGTAAATTAACTTTGGTGTTTTCTGGTCAAATTATACAGATGTACTGTTGACATTGATTTTGTATATGTCAGTACTGGTATTGATCTATGATATTTCCTCATTTGTTTTAGAATTCACCAGAATGATGCTGTAGCTGTACACGAGCTATGCACACAAATACTGAAGGAAGAGATACTTTTCTACCAAGAATTGAAAGAGTAATTATTCTTATATAATAATGTACTTTTGTAAATTTTAATAACTGATATAAGCATAATGCTGATAAAGAGTAATTCTGAAATTACTGATTGATACCCTGTTTTGTTCTTCAGACATGACTGGATTGCCTTATGTTCAAATAGTTTTTATAGTACTCGTCTGTCCAATTTCGTATATGATTTTGTCTGTAAAATGTTTCAATGAGAGCTGTACAGATGAGTTTTCTGTAGACTGAACGTATATCTGACTCCTCATAATAGATGATTTGTATTTTTGGTTTTTATCCTTTTGAGTGTTTCAGTGCTACACTTGTTCACAAGTCATATATTTTGTCAATATATTTTACATTTTTGTCTTTTTCAGTTTTAATAGAGGTTATTTAATATGAGTACAATGTAGCTAGTTTGTCGTCTTCTTTTCCATTAAATGGACATGATTTCAACATAAAATATATAATTCATACTCATACTTTTGGTCATTAAATATGTAACATTTACATTGTAGGGGAGTACAGCCATTAGTAATTATTTACCAGAATGAAGCACAAAGAAAAAGAATGGTGAAACTAGCAGAAAATGTGGTGTTTTTAGATGCTACATATAAAGGTATATACTTGTATATAATCATGGAAATTTCAATTTAAAATATTGATACGTTTAAAAGAATTGAACTGTGTGACAATAAACTTACAACATGTTTTTTGTTTGTTTTAAGGATTAACTGCCTATGGTTATTCATTCTATGCTCTTGTTGCAAGAGATGAACAGCAAGGCCGAGGCACTCCTCTTTCGTACTGTATCTCGTCAGATGATACTGGTGAAGTTGTCAAAATATTTCTGAGATCTCTGAAGACTACGGCTGAAAATCATGGATTTGATTTCCGTCCAAGGTTTGTGGGTATCAAAGTTGACAATATTTCGAATTCAATATCATTGCTTATTAACACTTTTCATTTTCGTCTTATTATTTGTTTACAATTAGTAACATTATTCGGAGTCAACATCAAATCTGATATGGATATAAAAGATAAATAAATACCATTCAATTATATGTTTTAATTAATTTGGCTGTAAAAATTACAGGTTAAACTATGACATTATTCACATATTCGTGCAGTGATAGTTATTTGAAATGACAAATACACAATGCTATGAAAGATTCATCTAAAGAAACATTTTTTCATGCATATCAAAATTAATACAATTAAGGTCCACAATAATTTCAGTTGAATTTTGGCAAAGAATATTAGATAAATAATTTTTGCATAATAATATTTTTCTAATGGACTAATGAAACTTACAAACACATCAATTTCCTTAAAATCTTTTGAGTGTGATCTATAGCAAGGCTTTAAAACCAAAGCATTTAAGATTAAAGCATAGTCAGGTTTATACATAACATAATAATTAAAGCTTTTTTAGGCTTGTTTCCAAACTTTTTAATCACAAATTAAAAATCTAATTGATATAAAAAAAAAAGAATTTACATAATTATTTACAAATTAACAAATAGTATTATAGAATAAAACCAATATGAGATAAAGATATAGATTGTTGATACTGCAGTGTTACATTTTGTTTACTAGATCTTTTATGGTAGACAGAGATACCAAAGAAATCAGCGCAATTAATGAAGTATTCCCAAACAGCTCTGTTTTACTTTGCTGGTTTCATGTTTTACAGGTATTATATTATTCAATATATGTATCATACATTTTACCTTATTCTTTATGGGAAAAAAATCAGTTATTAAATGAGAGTTATTCTGTGAAGTTTCACTCTTTTGGATCAATAAGTATTAATTGCATTGGATTTAACATTTTATATCTTTTTTTTGTGTTTATAAGCTTGAGGTCAGTTTTGAATTAATAAATAGACTCTTTCGCATTAATACTTTCATAGATCAAATATTATCTTGTTGAAAAATAATTAGTCATGATATATTCAAGACAATGTTTAATTATTATTATCTTTAAGACATGAACTAAATATAAATGATTTGATTTACAGGCTGTGTACAGATTTTTGAATAAAAAAGAATCTGGTGTATCAGGACCCATGCACGCACATACCAGAAAAAAAGTTATTGACTATATTAGAACTATGAAAATATGTACCAAGGTAATCAAACGTGATAGTTAAGACAAATAAAATATAATGAACCTATGATACCACAGTGAAATATAATAATTTTTAAATTGGTCAATAATTTTGAGTTGGTCCTGACAAATTCAAATAATGTATTCGAATATTTAATATGTACTAGGTGAATGTTAATTTACATAGTATAACTTGACCTGCTTCTGATAATAACAGTTTTATATGCAGAGGATGTGAAACATTGTTAAAAAATTAATCACGAGTGTGTTGCCTCACAATGAAACACGATTGGTTATTGATATGTTTATATTATAAGAAAAATCCCTGTAGAAATGAAACCTCAGTGGGATCTTTTTCTCCTTTTCCAACATTGTAATTGTTTTAATATCAAAATCATATCAACAAGATTTTTCAAATAGAGTCAATTAAAACGCAATAATAATAATAATAAAAAATACAATCAATGAATTTTGGTTGATAAAAGATGAAAAAAAAACACTGAAACATATAGAAATGAATCTCTATTGAATTAAAGCAGTAAAATAATTTGGAAAGTACAAATAGTTGCTTAATGCGATTTAAAGATCTTACCTATAAATATACAATGCTTATGAGTACACGCGTGTTTAATCTATAAAATCTGATTTTATACTCAAAAGAAATGTGTCAATATAATTTTTCCTCAGAAAGAAGACTTTTCTCAAAAAGTTTAAATGTTGCAAGAGAAGATGCCTTCCAAACAAATAGCAGACTACTTGTTAGACAACTGGTGTACTGACAAGTGGGGATGTCGATGGGCCAACTATGGAAGACATTTTTTTCATGAAGATCAAGATACAAATAACTTAGTTGAAAGGTTATTAATACATTTTATTACTATACACCTTATATTTTACAAGATCGAAATTTTAAGCATCATCTAATTATCATCTGTTTGATAATAGTAACTAAGTATATTTTATTTTGGGGATAAATTTTCTGAACTGTCTCTGTTTTTATGACCTGATTTATAAAAAGTATTACACTTTGTCTAAATCCTACTTCTTCATGGGTAACCAAAGACAAAGCAGGATATAAACTTTACAATTTTTAACAATATGGAGAGGATTTTTGCCGTTCTTTCATGATAGGGTTATGCAAATTTAATACAAATATCATAATTGTCAATGCAAGTCGATAATTACATAAAAGCAGACAAAATGAAAAAATGTAGTCTAGCAAAACCTGATGTGTATGAGGATATTAAAACAAAAAAATATAATGCTACTTATAACATTCAAATGTTAACACATTAATATTTTATGTACTTTCTATTTGTACATTCAAATATAAATCATAAATTCAAAGTCCTTAACATTTTGTCATTTTCAGGTTTTTCCTGGGCATGAAATACCATTTCCTTGGTGGGTATGCCAATAGCAGAGTAGAGGACTTACTACTCCTTCTCCATGGAAATGTAACTATGTTTTATGAGTAAGTAAGTTTAAATTTGTCACAATCCTGTTCTTCTTATCGTTCACTTGAATCGTCTGAAATTAGAAAGATCATTTTAATTTAAGATGCAAATACATTGAATATTGAATACTGTGAATTCAATTTTTTAAGAAATAATTTATTATTAGATCTTTGAATTATGTTTTCATAACCAAAAATAAATTAACAAAAACATCGTAATTTTAGCTATCTGGATGAACTCGCAAAGATTGGTCGCCTGAAAAATATGGGAGGACAAAGGAGAGACAAAAGTAAATTGACAGCAGAGAATATGCTCAAGGCAGGACTCGACCAAACTGTGCAATGGACTTCATCCACAGAATGCACTGTTCCATCACAGACAGCATTTGGGACGATTTATAATGTGGACATTGTCAATGAAGTGTGCAATTGTCCAGCAGCAACAACAAGAGGTATTTTTTTAGCATCTTAAGTCAGTCCAACAATGTTTAAAAGTACACCATCAAGTATGAATTGTTATAATCAAGATTAGTAATTTCGGGTACCGTATATGGTTCCCGGAAATGCTTATCCTTCTAAAGCACCTAATTTCACTTCAGGTATTCAGTGGAATTCGTGTTGTTTATTATTGTTTTTTACTGTTGTTGTAAATGTCTTATGGTTTTATGAGTCTCCTCGGTTTTGATTGTTTTTGTCTTCCAACAAGGCATTATCAACCGTCATAAGGTTATACAAGTGCAAATAATCATTTTCCTCATCAAATTTTCTAAAACAATGCGATCCAATTTAAGTAAATCTTTACTCAACGTTCATTAGTGGTTTTGTTTAAAGTTTGTACAATTGAAAGTGAACCATAAAAGTACAAGTTATTTATGTTCCATTCTCTACTATTTTTCAGGAATGTGTAAGCATGTTCATTTAGCTGAATTGATTGCTTCTAAAAGGAACATCGACCTTACTGTAGAGCGCAGATCAGAAGCAATGGATGTATTTAATGCAGAACAATATTTTTATGACAGTGATAACAACCAGGTAGAGGTTTTGTCAAGATTGGGAAATGTATCAGTTGTTAATTTGACCTCTTTCAAATGTACATGTTTTGCCAATAGCCATGGTAAACATTGTGTTTGTGTGATGGTAGCAAAACTGGTAGTTCCATCACCTGACATAGAGTCTACCTCAATTGATGAAACAAAACAACAATTAATTGAAGACAAAGAAACAACCGACCAGGCTATTAAAAGAAAAATTGAGGAAATCAATTTATATGTAAACAATAAAAATTTCCAGACAATTGACGTGAAAAAAAAGAAAGCTATTTGTCAAGCACTCACAACGGCATTACATATTTGTAAGACAACCAACTTTTCCAAAACAACAAGAAAGCGAAAGCAGCAACCGCTGTTTCCAAGCAGAAAATCCAAAAGTCCAAAAACTGATCATGACTATTCAGTAAGCCGAAAGTGTGTTCTGAAAAAACGGGGGCGTAAAGTTAATGATGATGGCAGTTTCAAATCTACGCACAGAAAGAAAGGATCCATTCGTAAACCATTTCAATGAAAAAAATAATGAAATATTATAACTGCCTTTTCTAGATATTCGTTCAAAAATTGTATATGTTACATAGGTGCTTAAATGCTTTAAAAGTAGGACATATACAGTTTGCTCTTGAAATGTTTTGCAAAGATACTGATGTGAACAAATGGATATAATTTAATATAACAAATACCTATTCCTAATGATGATTTTGTCAAGCAGATAACTTGGCTAATTATTACATTGGACTAGGTCTGTTTGTTGTCTCAAGTAGGTTATATTTTTTAAGCAAATGATCAAATATGTTTTAAGTTAAGATAATACGTGTCATGTGTCTAATAAATCATTACCTGGCAGCATTGTCTGTATTGTCTTCCAAAAGGCCTCAAAAACTTTCCCATGCATTGCCTTGTTTACATTAGTTTTATTTAGTTAGGCTATAACATGGCCAACAATTTCTCTGCAAATATAAGTTAAGACAGCAATTTTATTATTATAGGACATTTCTTTACCTACACAATTTTATATAATGACACCATCTTAATTATTCTAGTTTTAATAAGAATCACTTAATCTAAGCAAATAAAAGACTTAATTTACAAGAATGCATTTTATTTTATTGACTTAAATATTTTTTTTTAAATGTTTTAATATGTTAATACTATAATGCTTAATTTATGTCATTACTAACAAAAATTGTATTCAATAATTTCAAATGTTTCCTAGCTACAACAAAATAGAGCATGTTAAACCGTTGGAAAATAAATGAGAATAGCAATGTTATACATATCAATAAAAAAACAAAGGACCAAGTCGAATTGTAAGGCCAAATTAAATAGTAATTTGTACATCAATAATTATAAGTCAATTGTTCTACCTAGCTTTCTGATAAACATGTAGTGTGGATTGTTTCAAGTTTATGACCAGTAAGAAGTAGATTGTATATGATTTTATAGTTAGTATTCTAACGATGCTATTAATTTTAAAATGATTGATTCCATGTCATTTTGCTTTGAAAAGTTTATTATTTAGTACACAGAGAAATGTGAAACCTTGAGTTGTTTTTTACGTTTTGGTCGGGTTGTTGTTTCTTTGACATAATCCCTGTGTCCATAAAGTTATATTAAAACGAAATCTGTTTTTAAACAGCTGGTAGTATGTTTGTGTTTGACTGTATATTAAAATGATAACTACACATTTCCATTCGCTTTTAACACAATTGTTCATTTTCTATATATAGACCTCGAGTGTAAAAAGATAGATTGCATTATAGACTTGATTATGAATTTATGATCTGAATTTTGTCACAAATTTAGTCTAGAATAATTATTGAAACAGATAAGCAATCAATTGAATAGATGATAACTCAGTTTATAATTGATTGTTGAGAAGATAAATACATAATGATCATGGTATTTGGAAAATGTATGTTTTATATATTTCATGTTAATCTAGATGTTTGCATTTTCTATTGTGTATTTTATTCCATACTCTTAGTATGTAATAAAGATGTCAAGAAGACGATTGCCTTTGTAGCCATTATAAATCCAATGTTCATAAAATCTGAACAATTGAATTCTCCTCAAACACTTACTTAGTTTTTTCAATGTCACCCTTTTTTTGGGCAGATGTCCCTTTCATTTTTTTGCATACAGCCTTTTTGGTTGCTTCTTTGTCAACAAGAGCCTCGGTCAAAGTGTTTAAAGATTGAACTTGATAGTCAACATCACCTGAAAATGAAGTGAAATACAGTTGTGATCTTTTCTTGGAGTTAAGCTGATAAATATATGTAATAAGACATATTAAGCACCGTTATGAAAGTTCTTACAACTTAAAAAAATGTCTTACAGATTGGCAAAGCGACATGTATATGATTCACAGTAGACATATGATTTCAAAAGATACAGTTATATACCAAGGGATCATAAACTCAAGCATGAACAATATTATGGGCACCACATAATAAGCTGGATCTGATAACCAATATAGATAACCTGAGACCACCCTAGTTTTTTATGGGGTTTATGTTGCTCAGTTTTATTTTTTCTATATTGAATTATAATGATTGCATTTTTGACTTTCCATCATTTTTTTAAATTTTTTTGCTCAGCTTTGTCAGTTTGTTCTCCAAATTTCAGTTTGATTGTTCCTTTCGACCCATTCACCATTCCTTACCTTCTAATCAATCAATGCTTAAAAAAACACGAGATCATCAATTTATGTGTTTTAACCAGCATAAACTGTTTTCTTTGAGAATCAAGTGTATTCACTAAAGTCTTACCGTTTGTTAACATGGACCAGGCTGATGTGATCGGTGGCACTATGTTTGTTGGTTTTGGAATCAAATTGACTAGTCTTGAAAGTTCCTTTCGATTTTGTTGAGTAGTATTTGATTTCCCTATTGTCAAGTAATCACCTATCTGGTGAACTGACATTCTGTCTGGTCCCTGGACTCTGGCCGTGATTTCATCTCCCTTCACCATATAAATCATTCTTTTCTCCGTTTTGTTTGTTTTCATTGACTGTAGTCTACTTCTCACAGGTCTAATGTCTTTTTAAAATAAATTGGAAAATAATCATGAACCCTTATGATAAGAATAATGAGAAACTTAAAATTGTGTTTTTGTTAGCCTATTAAAAGAAATCAATGACTTGAATTATTTAAGGCACAATGTAAAAATAAATGATACAGGGAGCTTCTAAATGTATAAAATTACCAAGTAAATATCAAACTAGTATATGTATAGGTTGTTACTAAACAGATAAAAGCCATTCCTGAAAATGTGAAGGTACAGTCATCACACAGGACATTTAGCTTTGTTATTCATAAAAAGTAATTGGAAAGACAATAATAAAACAAGTAATGATTCATATCCAAATCCATGAAGTGCTAAATATAATGATTGTTGAGGTGAAATATAGATTGTTGGTGATCATGGTATGCAAATGATCAAAAAAATATAATGTACATACTTGCAATCCTAAACTCCTCAAAAGAAGTAATCTCATTCCAATCCGTCGTCTCACTTGTACCTGTTGAGATAAGAGTATTATTCAGGATAATTGATAAGAAACCAATCAAAACACAATTACTTTAATCATAAAATGTAATCCTAGTTATCTTCGGTAATTAATTCCTGGTGGTTGCATTGATTTTGTGTACAAAATAACTACATAATATCAATGTCTTGATCATTATGATACCATTTTTAGAAACAAAGTGACATTTTTCTACCCCAATATCTCCTAAATAAAATTAGGTTGGGGGTTGAGCCAGTCAACTCCAAAGCCTGCCCTGTGAAGAAGTATATTAAAAACTTCAATTGTTTTCTTTATATAAAGTATAACAAAAACTATTATATGCTTCATATTTAAAAATATATCATTCTAAAATAGGAAAATAATTCATTTTGGTCAATTTCCCTACTTTTTTGTCACCTTTTTCAATGTTCATAAATTTAACTATGGCTCCACATCTTGCCCATTCAATTTTGATGAAATTGGCAATATCTTGTTAAGTTGACCACATGTAACCAATTCAATATTTTTGTAAAGTAATCTCAACAGGAAAATGAAATTACTTTTCAATCAAACCTAAGTAGCATTTTTACAAATATCAATAACAAGTTTTAAGTTCAAAAAGAATGATAGTTTCAGTATCATAAAACTTAATGAACTTATCCATCATGATTAAATGCATACATACCACTCTCATCTACATTTTCTGTTGACTTCTAAAAATAGAAGATAAAAATTATAATGATTGTATTAGGAAATCAATTGATTTATCAAAAATTATCTAATAATGATAAGTATAAATTGTCTACATAATCAATTGTAAAAATCCTCTTGACAAAGTAAGAAATTTTAATTATTTTCTAAGATTTGTTTTTTAGACGACTCTGAAAGACAATGTACATTTTTTAATGGTTATTAATATATTGAAATTAATATAACAATATAACATATTCTCCCTGAACCAAGAATGTATATCTAACCTGATCTTCATCTTTTTTCTAGATCTTCGGTTGTCTAACATTATCTACTAATGAAAAGAAATAAAACCATGAACCATTCAAATGTAAATGTTGATATTTTTTTGCAATTTATATTAACATTAATTGTTTCATTTTCTGTTATAAAAGACTAAATAAAACAAGTTTTGTTTGCGTAAGTGTGTCCAGAGGTTACCATATTTCATATCAACATAAGGTGATCAGAGGTGACAAAATCTGAAATCTACAGAAGGTGACCAGAGGTAACCAAATCCCATGTATGAATAAGATGACCAGATGTAACCAAATCAATTATCTGCATAAGGTGACCAGAGGAAGCCAAATCCGAAATATGCAGAAGATGACCAGATAATTACAATATCTGCATAAACTTAGGTAACCAAAACTTATATTTAAATCAGGTGACCAACAGTAACAAAACCCTATTATAACTTTTAAAAGTGACCAGTAATTACCAGATACCATATCTTGGGAAGATGACCACATGTATCCAAAATTAAGAATTTTGTAAGGAAATTCTTAAAGAATATTGAATTTACTTTTCAATCAAACCTAAGTAGCCGTTTTAACAAAAAATGATAACCAGTTTTGTGTTAGAATAGAATGATAATTTCAGTATTATAAAAACTTCATGTACTTATGCATCATATATAATGATTATATATCACAAATTAAATGCGTACATACCTCTTTCATCTACATTTTCTAGTGACTTCTGAAAAAAAAGATAACAAATACAATAATCGTATAAGGAAATCAATTGATTTATCAAAAATATCTACAGAGGATAAGTATCAATTATCAACTGAACATGCTCTTGGCAACGTTTGCAAATTAAATCATTCTCTAACGTTTGTTTTATAGATGATCATGGTAGACAAAGTTCATTCTGTTAATTGTAATAAAATATTAAAAGTAATATATAATACTTTTCTATATTCTTGTTGAACCCATGATGTATATCAAACCTGTTTTTCTTCTTTTTTCCCTCTCTTTGATTTTCTAGCATGTTCTAAAATGATAAAAAAAACACAACATGACCAGTTGTAGGTAAATATTGATGACAAGAAATAACCAAATTCGAATAATACATAGGGTGGCCAGAGATTTCCAATATATGCATGAAATGAACGGAGGTAAACAAATCCAATATCGTCGTAAGGTGACCAGAGGTAAGTAAACACATTCAATATCGTCGTTAGGTGACCAGAGGTAACCAAATTCTATATGTTGTTCAGATGACCAGAGGTTACCATATACCATATCTTGTAAAGTTGACAACATGTAGCCAATTTAAATTTTTATAAGGTTATCCCAAAAGAAAAATGTTTTTTTTAATTAAACCTTAAATGCCATTTCACAAAATTCGTAACAAGTTTAAAGTTTCAATAGAATAATAGTTTCAGTATTATATAGACACAAGGCGCTTATCCATCATAAATAAGAATTATATTTAACAAATTTAATGCATACATACCTCTTTTATCTACATTTTCTAGTGACTGAAAAAGAAGATAAAATATATAATGATTACATTAGGAAATCAATTGATTTATCCAAAATAATATAATGAGGGTAAGTAAAAATTGACTTAATAATCAACTTTAAATGCTCTTGTCAACGTTTGCAAGTTCAAGCATTTTCTAAGATTTGTTTTTAAAAGATCAGGATAGACAATGTTCATTCTGTTGAGATCATTAATATTTTAAATGTAATATGCAATACAATTCTATAGTCTTGCTGAACCAGTAATGCATATCAAACCTGTTCTTGTTCTTTTTTCCTTCTCTTCGATTGTCTTACATTTCCTACAAATAATAACAAAAAATAACATGACTTATGTTTTGATGACCAGAGTTAATTAAATCTGAAATCTGCATAAGGTGACCAAAGGTCCTCAAATCCAATATCTGCATAAGGTGACCAGAGGTTCCCAAATCCAATATCTGCATAAGGTGACCAAAGGTCCCCAAATCATATATCTGCATAAGGTGAACAGATATATAACAAATCAAATTTCTTCATAGAGTCACCAGAGGTCCCCAAATCGGAAATCTGCATAAGAAGACCAGAGGTCCTCAAATCCAATATCTGCATAAGGTGACCAGGAACTCTAATCCAATATCTGCATAAGGTGAACAGAGGTCCCAAAATCCAATATCTGCATGAGGTGACCAGATTTATCCCAATCCAATATCTTCATAAGGTGACCAGAGGTCCCCAAATCCAATATTTGCATAAAGTGACCAGAGGTCCTAAAATCCAATATCTGCATAAGGTGACCAGAGGTCCCCAAATCCAATATCTGCATAAGGTGACAAGAGGTTACTAAATCTAGTATCTGCATTAGATGACCAATGGTAATCCGATTTCATATCATGTTAAGATCACTAGAGATAATCTGATACCATATATGATAAAATTGATCACTTATAGCTAATTAAATATTTTTCTAAGTTAATCCAAAGAGAAAAAGAAATTTTTCAATCAAACCTAAGTAGCGATTTTAAAGCTATCGATAACAAGTTGTAAGTTTAAATAGAAATTTAGTTTCAGTATCATATAGACGTAATGAACCTATCCATCATACTAAAAAAATGATAAAATAAATACAAACCACTTTCATCTTCATTTTCTGTTGACTTCTGAAAAAAGAAGTTAAATATTAAATAATCGTATAGGAAATCAACTGATTTATCCAAAGGATCTAATGAAGATACGTATAAATTGACTTCGTTATCGGCTCTTGACAACGCAAGCAAATTCAATTATTTTTAAGATTTATTTCTAAATGATCATGGAAGATAATGTACATTTTTTCTGTTCAGTGTTACTTAGATAGTAAATATAATGTTATAGTATTCTATATTTTGAACCAATGATATATACAAACCTGTTCTTCTTTTTTCACCCTCTTCAAATTTCTCACATTTTCTACAAATGATAAAAAAAACTCAACATTTAAAAAAGAAATTGTGGTATTATTGCCAATGAGACAACTGTTCACAACAAACCAAATGACACAGAAATTAACAAGTATAAGTCACTGTACGGCCTTCAACAATGAGCAACGTCCATACCGCATAGTCAGTTATTAAAGGCCCGGAAATAAGAAATGTAAAATAATTCAAACGATCATACATCTAAGACTACATATGACCAATTTTTGTAAAATTTAATGACCAGTGAATAACAAAATCCGAAATCTGAAAAAGGTGTCAACTGTCAAGAGAATTCCAATAACAACAGAAAGTGACCAAAGATAACTAAATACAGTATCTGCTTCAGGTGATCAGTGTTAACACAATTCTATATCATTTTAAGGTTGCTTAGGGTACTCAAATACCATATCTGGGAAAGTTGACCATATGCAGCCAATTAAATATACCAAAAATAATTAATTTCAATCAAACCGAAGAAGCCATTTTACAGCTATCGATAACAAGTTTTAAGTTCAAAAAGAATAATAGTTGCAGCATTATATAAACATAGTGTATGTTTTCATCATATTAAAGGTTTGATACAATAAATTAAATGCATACATACCACTTTCATCTACATTTTCTGAGGACTTCTAAAAAAAAGAAGATAAACATCTGATATTTGTATTAGTAAATTCAATTTTATTTATCCATAATTATCTTATGAGGTTAAGTAAAAATTGACAACATTTTCAACTGTCAATGCTCTTGGCAATGTTTGCAAGGTCAATGATTTTCAAAGATTTGTTCTTTAAAAGATCAGGATAGACAATGATCATTCTGTTGAGTGCTATTAATATTTTAAATGTAATATGCAATACAATTCTATAGCCTTGCTGAACCAGTAATGCATATTAACCTTTTCTTGTTCTTTTTTTCCTCTCTTCGATTGTCTTACGTTTCCTACAAATGATAAAAAACATAACATGACTTATGTTTTGATGACCAAAGGTAACAAAATCCAATATTTACATAGGGTGACCAGAGGTCACCAAATCCAATATTTACATAAGGTGACCAGAGGTCACCAAATCTAATATTAACATTAGGTGACCAGAAGTCACCAAATCCAGTATTTACATAAGATGAACTGAGGTCACCAAATCCAATATATGAATAAGGTGACTAGAAGTTACTCCATTCTAGCATATTAAGGCAAACAGAGGTTAACAAATCCAAACTGGTTAAGATGACCACATGTAATCAACTTAAATATTTGTGAAAGGTAATCAAGAAACAAAAAAAATGATTAGTTCAATCGAGCCTAAGTGGCCATTTTACCAGAAACGATTGCAAGTTTCAAGTTCAAAAAGAATAATAGTTGCAGCATTATATAAATATAGTGTATGTTTCCATCATATTAAAAGTTTGATACAATGAATTAAATGCATACATACCACTCTCATCTACATTTTCTGAGGACTTCTGAAAAAAAGAAGATAAGTATATGATAATTGTATTAGTAAATTCAATTTTATTTATCCAAAAGTATCTTATGAGGATCAGTTTTATTTTATTTAATTATCAACTGTCCGTGCTCTTGGCAATGTTTGAAAGATCAATGATTTTTCTTTAATTTGTTTGTAGATGATCATGAAAGATAATGATCATTGTGTTAAGTTTTATCGGTACATTAAACTTAATGTAATAATATTCTATATTCTTGTTGAATCCATAATGTATATCAAACCTGTTCTTCTTCTTTTTTGTCTTTCTTTGATTGTCTCAAATTTTCTACAAATGATATGAAAAACATCAACTAGTTGTATGCAAATGTTATTTACCAGAGATAACCAAATCTGAAAACTGCATAAGGTGACCAGAGGTAACCAAATCCAATATTAACATAAGGTGACCAGAGGTCACCAAATCCTATATTTCCATAAGATGACCAGAGGTAACCAAATCCAATATATGAATAAGGTGACTAGAAGTTACCCCATTCTAGCATATTAAGGCCAACAGAAGTTAACAAATCCCATTTCTGGCTAAGATGACCACATGATATCAACTTAAATATTTGTGTAAGGTAATCAAGAAACAAAAAAAATGATTAGTTCAATCGAGCCTAAGTGGCCATTTTACCAGAAACGATTGCAAGTTTCAAGTTCAAAAAGAATAATAGTTGCAGCTTTATATAAGTATAGTGTATATTTCCATCATATTAAAAGTTTGATACAATGAATTAAATGCATACATACCACTCTCATCTACATTTTCTGAGGACTTCTGAAAAAAGAAGATAAATATATGATAATTGTATAAGTAAATTCAATTTTATTTATCCAAAAGTATCTTATGAGGATCAGTTTTATTTTATTTACTTATCAACTGTCCGTGCTCTTGGCAATGTTTGAAAGATCAATGATTTTTCTTTAATTTGTTTGTAGATGATCATGAAAGATAATGATCATTGTGTAAAGTTTTATCGGTACATTAAAGTTAATGTAATAATATTCTATATTCTTGTTGAATCCATAATGTATATCAAACCTGTTCCTCTTCTTTTTTGTCTTTCTTTGATTGTCTCAAATTTTCTACAAATGATATGAAAAACATCAACTAGTTGTATGCAAATGTTATTTACCAGAGATAACCAAATCTGAAAACTACATAAGGTGACCAGAGGTAACCAAATCCAATATTAACATAAGATGACCAGAGGTCACCAAATCCTATATTTCCATAAGATGACCAGAGGTAACCAAATCCAATATATGAATAAGGTGACTAGAAGTTACCCCATTCCAGCATATTAAGGCCAACAGAAGTTAACAAATCCCATTTCTGGCTAAGATGACCACATGATATCAACTTAAATATTTGTGTAAGGTAATCAAGAAACAAAAAAAATTATTAGTTCAATCGAGCCTAAGTGGCCATTTTACCAGAAACGATTGCAAGTTTCAAGTTCAAAAAGAATAATAGTTGCAGCATTATATAAATATTGTGTATGTTTCCATCATATTAAAAGTTTGATACAATGAATTAAATGCATACATACCACTCTCATCTACATTTTCTGAGGACTTCTGAAAAAAGAAGATAAGTATATGATAATTGTATTAGTAAATTCAATTTTATTTATCCAAAAGTATCTTATGAGGATCAGTTTTATTTTATTTAATTATCAACTGTCCGTGCTCTTGGCAATGTTTGAAAGATCAATGATTTTTTTTCTTAAATTTGTTTGTAGATGATCATGAAAGATAATGATCATTGTGTAAAGTTTTATCGGTACATTAAACTTAATGTAATAATATTCTATATTCTTGTTGAATCCATAATGTATATCAAACCTGTTCTTCTTCTTTTTTGTCTTTCTTTGATTGTCTCAAATTTTCTACAAATGATATGAAAAACATCAACTAGTTGTATGCAAATGTTATTTACCAGAGATAACCAAATCTGAAAACTACATAAGGTGACCAGAGGTAACCAAATCCAATATTAACATAAGGTGACCAGAGGTCACCAAATCCTATATTTCCATAAGATGACCAGAGGTAACCAAATCCAATATATGAATAAGGTGACTAGAAGTTACCCCATTCTAGCATATTAAGGCCAACAGAAGTTAACAAATCCCATTTCTGGCTAAGATGACCACATGATATCAACTTAAATATTTGTGTAAGGTAATCAAGAAAAAAAAAATGATTAGTTCAATCGAGCCTAAGTGGCCATTGTACCAGAAACGATTGCAAGTTGTAAGTTCAAAAAGAATAATAGTTGCAGCATTATATAAATATTGTGTATGTTTCCATCATATTAAAAGTTTGATACAATGAATTAAATGCATACATACCACTCTCATCTACATTTTCTGAGGACTTCTGAAAAAAGAAGATAAGTATATGATAATTGTATTAGTAAATTCAATTTTATTTATCCAAAAGTATCTTATGAGGATCAGTTTTATTTTATTTAATTATCAACTGTCCGTGCTCTTGGCAATGTTTGAAAGATCAATGATTTTTCTTAAATTTGTTTGTAGATGATCATGAAAGATAATGATCATTGTGTAAAGTTTTATCGGTACATTAAACTTAATGTAATAATATTCTATATTCTTGTTGAATCCATAATGTATATCAAACCTGTTCTTCTTCTTTTTTGTCTTTCTTTGATTGTCTCAAATTTTCTACAAATGATATGAAAAACATGTACTAGTTGTATGCAAATGTTATTTACCAGAGATAACCAAATCTGAAAACTGCATAAGGTGACCAGAGGTAACCAAATCCAATATTAACATAAGGTGACCAGAGGTCACCAAATCCTATATTTCCATAAGATGACCAGAGGTAACCAAATCCAATATATGAATAAGGTGACTAGAAGTTACCCCATTCCAGCATATTAAGGCCAACAGAAGTTAACAAATCCCATTTCTGGCTAAGATGACCACATGATATCAACTTAAATATTTGTGTAAGGTAATCAAGAAACAAAAAAAAATATTAGTTCAATCGAGCCTAAGTGGCCATTTTACCAGAAACGATTGCAAGTTTCAAGTTCAAAAAGAATAATAGTTGCAGCATTATATAAATATTGTGTATGTTTCCATCATATTAAAAGTTTGATACAATGAATTAAATGCATACATACCACTCTCATCTACATTTTCTGAGGACTTCTGAAAAAAGAAGATAAGTATATGATAATTGTATTAGTAAATTCAATTTTATTTATCCAAAAGTATCTTATGAGGATCAGTTTTATTTTATTTAATTATCAACTGTCCGTGCTCTTGGCAATGTTTGAAAGATCAATGATTTTTCTTAAATTTGTTTGTAGATGATCATGAAAGATAATGATCATTGTGTAAAGTTTTATCGGTACATTAAACTTAATGTAATAATATTCTATATTCTTGTTGAATCCATAATGTATATCAAACCTGTTCTTCTTCTTTTTTGTCTTTCTTTGATTGTCTCAAATTTTCTACAAATGATATGAAAAACATCAACTAGTTGTATGCAAATGTTATTTACCAGAGATAACCAAATCTGAAAACTACATAAGGTGACCAGAGGTAACCAAATCCAATATTAACATAAGGTGACCAGAGGTCACCAAATCCTATATTTCCATAAGATGACCAGAGGTAACCAAATCCAATATATGAATAAGGTGACTAGAAGTTACCCCATTCTAGCATATTAAGGCCAACAGAAGTTAACAAATCCCATTTCTGGCTAAGATGACCACATGATATCAACTTAAACATTTGTGTAAGGTAATCAAGAAACAAAACAAATGATTAGTTCAATCGAGCCTAAGTGGCCATTGTACCAGAAACGATTGCAAGTTGTAAGTTCAAAAAGAATAATAGTTGCAGCATTATATAAATATTGTGTATGTTTCCATCATATTAAAAGTTTGATACAATGAATTAAATGCATACATACCACTCTCATCTACATTTTCTGAGGACTTCTGAAAAAAGAAGATAAGTATATGATAATTGTATTAGTAAATTCAATTTTATTTATCCAAAAGTATCTTATGAGGATCAGTTTTATTTTATTTAATTATCAACTGTCCGTGCTCTTGGCAATGTTTGAAAGATCAATGATTTTTCTTAAATTTGTTTGTAGATGATCATGAAAGATAATGATCATTGTGTAAAGTTTTATCGGTACATTAAACTTAATGTAATAATATTCTATATTCTTGTTGAATCCATAATGTATATCAAACCTGTTCTTCTTCTTTTTTGTCTTTCTTTGATTGTCTCAAATTTTCTACAAATGATATGAAAAACATCAACTAGTTGTATGCAAATGTTATTTACCAGAGATAACCAAATCTGAAAACTACATAAGGTGACCAGAGGTAACCAAATCCAATATTAACATAAGGTGACCAGAGGTCACCAAATCCTATATTTCCATAAGATGACCAGAGGTAACCAAATCCAATATATGAATAAGGTGACTAGAAGTTACCCCATTCTAGCATATTAAGGCCAACAGAAGTTAACAAATCCCATTTCTGGCTAAGATGACCACATGATATCAACTTAAATATTTGTGTAAGGTAATCAAGAAACAAAAAAAATGATTAGTTCAATCGAGCCTAAGTGGCCATTTTACCAGAAACGATTGCAAGTTTCAAGTTCAAAAAGAATAATAGTTGCAGCATTATATAAATATAGTGTATGTTTTCATCATATTAAAGGTTTGATACAATAAATTAAATGCATACATACCACTCTGATCTACATTTTCTGAGGACTTCTGAAAAAAGAAGATAAACATATGATAATTGTATTAGTAAATTCAATTTTATTTATCCAAAAGTGTCTTATGAGGATCAGTTTTATTTTATTTAATTATCAACTGTCAGTGTTCTTGGCAATGTTTTAAAGATCAATGACTTTTCTTAAATTTGTTTGTAGATGAGCATGAAAGATAATGATCATTGTGTAAAGTTTTATCAATATATTAAACTTAATAAAATAATATTCTATATTCTTGTTGAATCCATAATGTATATCAAACCTGTTCTTCTTCTTTTTTGTCTTTCTTTGATTGTCTCAAATTTTCTACAAATGATATGAAAAACATCAACTAGTTGTATGCAAATGTTATTTACCAGAGATAACCAAATCTGAAAACTACATAAGGTGACCAGAGGTAACCAAATCCAATATTAACATAAGGTGACCAGAGGTCACCAAATCCAATATTAACATAAGGTGACCAGAGGTAACCAAATCCAATATATGAATAAGGTGACTAGAAGTTACCCCATTCTAGCATATTAAGGCCAACAGAAGTTAACAAATCCCATTTCTGGCTAAGATGACCACATGATATCAACTTAAATATTTGTGTAAGGTAATCAAGAAACAAAAAAAATTATTAGTTCAATCGAGCCTAAGTGGCCATTTTACCAGAAACGATTGCAAGTTGTAAGTTCAAAAAGAATAATAGTTGCAGCATTATACAAACATAATGTATGTTTCCATCATATTAAAAGTTTGATACAATAAATTAAATGCATACATACCACTCTGATCTACATTTTCTGAGGACTCCTGAAAAAAGAAGATAAGCATATGATAATTGTATTAGTAAATTCAATTTTATTTATCCAAAAATATCTAATGAGGATCAGTATTATTTTTATTTAATTATCAACTGTCAGTGTTTTTGGCAATGTTTGAAAGATCAATGATTTTTCTTAAATTTGTTTGTAGATGATCATGAAAGATAATGATCAATGTGTAAAGTTTATCGGTATATTAAACTTAATGTAATAATATTCTATATTCTTGTTGAATCCATAATGCATATCAAACCTGTTCTTCTTCTTTTTTGTCTTTCTTTGATTGTCTAAAACTTTCTACAAATGAAATGAAAAACATCAACTAGTTGTATGTAAATGTTAATTACCAGAGATAACCAAATCTAAAATATGCATATGGTGACCAGAGGTAACCGAATCCAATATTAACATAAGGTGACCAGAGGTCACCAAATCTGAAATCTGCATTAGGTGACCAGAGGTAACCAAATCCAGTATTTCCATAAGGTGACCAGAGATAACCAAATCTAATATATGAATAAGGTGACCAGAGGTAACCAAACCCGTTATTAACATAAGGTGACCAGAGGTCACCAAATCCAATATATGAATAAGGTGACCAGAAGTAACCCCGTTGTAGTAAGGCAAACAGAGGTTAACAGATCTAATTTCTGGTAAAAATGACCACATGTAATCAAAATTAAATATTTGTGTAAGGTAATCAAGAAACAAAAAATGATTTTTTCAACTAAGCCTAAGTGGCCATTACCAGAAACGATTGCAAGTTTTAAGTTCAAAAAGAATATTAGTTGCAGCATTATATGAACTTTGTGTACATATCTATCATATTAAAGGTTTAATACAATAAATTAAATGCATACAAACCACTCTCAAGGTGACCACAAGTATTCAGATGCAATATCGCGGTAAGGTGAGCAGAGGTAACAAAACCTAATATTTACATTATGTGACAAGAGCTAGCAAATCCAATAAATACATATGGTGACCAGAGGTAACCAAATCCAATATCAGCATAGGTGACTAGATGAACGTATTCCAATATTTACATAAGTTGACCTGAAGTAACCAAATCCGTTATCTTCATTAGGTGACAAGAGGTTACCAAATCAATTATCTGCATAAGGTACACAGAGGTAACCAAATCCTATATATGCGTAAGATGACCAGATGTAACCAAATCCTATATGCGGAAGGTGACCAGTGGTAACAATTCAAATATTTGCAGAAGGTAACCAGAGTTAACCGAATACTATTTTAGCATAAGTTGACCAGATGTAACAAAAGCCGCTATTTGCATAAACTAACAGAGGTAATCAAATCCAATAATTGCATAGGTTGACCAGAGGTAATACAATACTTTTTTGCATAAGATAACCAGAGGTAACCAAATTCAATATTTGCATTAGTTGATCAGAGTTAACCGAATCCAATATTAACATAAGGTGACCAGAGGTCACCAAATCTGAAATCTGCATTAGGTGACCAGAGGTAACCAAATCCAGTATTTCCATAAGGTGACCAGAGATAACCAAATCTAATATATGAATAAGGTGACCAGAGGTAACCAAACCCGTTATTAACATAAGGTGACCAGAGGTCACCAAATCCAATATATGAATAAGGTGACCAGAAGTATTCCCGTTGTAGTAAGGCAAACAGAGGTTAACAGATCTAATTTCTGGTAAAAATGACCACATGTAATCAAAATTAAATATTTGTGTAAGGTAATCAAGAAACAAAAAATGATTTGTTCAACTAAGCCTAAGTGGCCATTACCAGAAACGATTGCAAGTTTTAAGTTCAAAAAGAATATTAGTTGCAGCATTATATGAACTTTGTGTACATATCTATCATATTAAAGGTTTAATACAATAAATTAAATGCATACAAACCACTCTCAAGGTGACCACAAGTATTCAGATGCAATATCGCGGTAAGGTGAGCAGAGGTAACAAAACCTAATATTTACATTATGTGACAAGAGCTAGCAAATCCAATAAATACATATGGTGACCAGAGGTAACCAAATCCAATATCAGCATAGGTGACTAGATGAACGTATTCCAATATTTACATAAGTTGACCTGAAGTAACCAAATCCGTTATCTTCATTAGGTGACAAGAGGTTACCAAATCAATTATCTGCATAAGGTACACAGAGGTAACCAAATCCTATATATGCGTAAGATGACCAGATGTAACCAAATCCTATATGCGGAAGGTGACCAGTGGTAACAATTCAAATATTTGCAGAAGGTAACCAGAGTTAACCGAATACTATTTTAGCATAAGTTGACCAGATGTAACAAAAGCCGCTATTTGCATAAACTAACAGAGGTAATCAAATCCAATAATTGCATAGGTTGACCAGAGGTAATACAATACTTTTTTGCATAAGATAACCAGAGGTAACCAAATTCAATATTTGCATTAGTTGATCAGAGTTAACAAAATCTGAAATCTGCATAAGGTATTATCCATCATATTAATTGATTTAATCAACAAATTAAATGCATACATACCATTCTCATCTAAAATTTGTATGGACTTCTGAAAAAAGAAGATAAAAATATAATAATTGTATAAGGAAATCAATTGATTTATTCAGAAGTATCAAGTGAGAACAAGCATAAATTGACCCGATTTTTAATTGTGAATGTTCTTGACAATTTTTGCAAGTTCGTTCATTTTTTTTAGATGATCAGGAAGAAAATTCGATGGTAAAGTGTTTTCAATGAATAAACATTTAAAATGTTATGCAACAATCATCTGTAGTCTTGATGAACCAATTATAGATATCAAACCTGTTGTTGTTCTTTTTTTCCTCTCTTTGAATGTCTAACTTTTTCTAAAAAAAAGAATAAACAAAATCCATGAAGAGAAACTAAAGGTTAATATTTTTAAAGTCAGTACAATTCAGAGTAAAAATATATACTCAAATTATTAAATTGCAATATAAAAAAAGGGTAACCTCTCTGTCAAGTATAGATTACCTTGAACAACACGAACCATTTAGTGCTTTTAAATAAGTGTGGGTGAAACATAAAAAAATTAATAGCTTAACGTGAACTTACTTCTAGCGAAAACTGTGTGAATTATATATATTCATAGGAATTAATTCAGAAGCATGCTTTATTATTTTTTCTGCATGCATTTATGTTTATCTATCATTGATTATAATGTAATGTAAAATTGATACAGGATAGAAATGAAGTTGTGATAAAGATACATGACTTCACAGCAGAGATAATAAATAAGGAAATTGTAATTATTGTGTCAAGCAGAACATTAAGTGAGAACTATAATATGTAAAAGTAGTGGCATATTGACTACACATTGATTATATTTGAAGCGTACAGATTTAGGATAAAGCACACCAAACTAAAAGTTCACAGTATTTTATACATTACCATACATCTGTATATAAGAAACAAAAAAATAAATAAAATCCAACAGCTTATACAATGCAAACAAGAAACTGACAAGTTATATAACAAAATCATTTGAAAAGACAATATTTAAAGAAGACTTGAAAAGTAGTGTGCACTAAGCAAACGGTACCTATGCCAGCGTCATTCTGTATTAATCAACTAAGTCATGAGGGGGAACATTAAACGTCTGCCTTTACCATGTGAGTCTGAATGTGAGAACAACAAATCTTTGGATTTCAAAGATATCTTAGAATAAGTTCATTTAGTGCAATCTATAAAAAATGTAAGAAATATCAACATGAATATATCTACAAAAATTAATAAGTCGACTTCTGTTATGAAATTAAACGCAACTTATAGAATTATTGAACAAATGGAAGAACAATGATCATTCTACAATTTTGTTATATCGCATTTTGTCCTTGCAAATTAAATTCTATTTCATTGTATTACTTTAAAAAAAAAATAGAAATGGTAGAATTTTCTATTGCACTCACCAGGTGGAAAAATTGAGCACAAACTGCATAGTCCTGGAGTCATACACTTTTTGTGGAAATTCCTTTTACAGCATGAACATGCTCTCTGCAATATTTAATAGACATGTTCAAATTCTATGAATTAATGTAGTTATTGCGAAAAATGTTAATATTAGTGAAAGTTCATCAAATTGATATAAAAAAAAACATTTATATTCTAACCTACAATATCACAAGGTTCTGTTAAAAAATTATCAATTTTAACCATAAAACGTATTTAAATAAGCAATAAAAATAATAAAGCACCCTGTTAAGTTGAACATCAACGATCTATAAATGTATATTTACCATGTTAGTTGGTTCTTTAGCACACAAGAAGCATGTCATAACAGCACCTTTTGTTTCTATAGTAAAATAGAAATAGATGTTAACATGAATTAGGAACAACATTCTTCTGCTCCAAATCACAAATTGCAGCAGCTGATAATAAGTCATAAAATTGAAAATGTTTACACTTGGTTGATGTTATTTTTTACGTTCCTTCCCGTAGATGGTAATTATGATGGTGATGCTCATTGATGACAGCGGCAGTTTATATGAAGAAGACAATCGCATAAATATATCGGCTAACTTAATTAGACCTACAAAAACTAGTTGATTTTTAAACATCTACTTTCCATGTTTATATTTTCATTAATAAGATCGTAATATTTGACAACAACACATTATCATACATATATAAGACATGGAATATCATAAAAATAAGTACAGTTTGAGCTGTAGAAAAAAGAGAGAAATTATTACAGAAAACAACCGGAATTATTAAGCTATTATTTCCAAACTACATTTTTAAGTATAACATATCAATAATGAATAATACATTAAAGAAACATAAATACATCATTTATAGCGTAAAGAAATTTGGTCAGAAACAATAGATAAAATTAAAAACAAATCATCAATGAATTGAGATAAACATCAAAGAAAAGGATTTCAAACACATTATTGAACATGTTAAAATTCATATTCCCTTTTTATTAGATTCACTTATTGTCTAGCAAGAAGATATTAAGTATTTACATAACATACGGTACTATTAGTAAATGCTTTTATTCTATTGATTACTTACGCACAGCTTGAACAATTTCACTGCCAATTGTGAATCTTTCAGCTAGGACGTTTAATTCCAAAGATGTATCTGTCTTACTTAGGTATCGGTCGAGGAACTAAAAAAATAATTCTTAAATGTACACATTGTTTTGTAAATTTTCTATGGCCTGTTCAAAACTGAATGTTTAAATTACTGAAATGATTCATGTAGGCCTAATAATGATATAAAAATGTTTTTTTTACAAAAGGTAAATTAAAAGTACCACATATTTATTTGTTTTTCTTTCCATTACATTTAAAGTAATTTATGCAAATCATAGATTTGGTTAAATTTCACACAACCTTTGTGCTTTGCGGATTTTACTGAAATAGTTTACATGATATATATTCCAAGTTATTGTTTACACATATTTAAATAAACAGGTTTGGGAAACAAGTTGTTTACAACTTACAACAATATTTTGTTCATCTTGTTTGTACGATTCTGCCTTTTTTTCAAAATCAACAAGGGTGTCTTTTACGTGCAAAATTGTGATCTTTATTAGTATATATATATATCATTGATTTAAGATTCAAGCTTCAATTGAACTTTCATTTATTAACTCTCAATTCATACATGCAAAGCCCAATGTTTTATGTACCTTCAAACAATAAACACCACATGAGCTAAAATCATTTTGCAGAGGATACCCAACTGCTGTACAGATTGTCCATGTACCAAGATCTCTGCTTTTAGTGAAGTAGCTACATAATATAATATGAAAAGAAAAATGTGTTACTTAAAATTGATATATATTAAAAAGTCAAGCTGGCTATAGCCATAATGCCAGCCATTGCCTTACCCCGGACTGTATCATAGAACTTACATGTCTAGCTAGATGTATGATACTTAAGGAGATATTGCACATTCCATAGAAAACCGTTCATTTGACCAACCTTTCTAATGTAGGAAAAAAAATATTTGCAGCTGTTTTAAAGTTGATATCAACAACGTTTGGAAAAAAATAACTGGTCTTCAGTTCTTACTGCTATATTCAATTTACAAAGCTGTGCAATCAATAATACAATTATAGTTCAATTCCAGTATCAACCAGAAGTAATTTTCATTTTAGATTAACAAATTATATTTCTCTAGATTTGTCCTTATAACTTGTGACTCACTTCTGAAAATTTCAGAATTATAAACCTTTTTTTAAGTATATATATCAAACACAGAAATAAAAATTTACTTTGAAACAAATCACATGCATTAAAGCAATAAACGACTGTCATGTAACTACAGTTTCAATCTTACTTGAAATTCTTTTCATATGTTCTCAATTTCTTTGATATTTTGAGCGGGTCCATACTTGTCACAATATGGTGTTGGACATCCATAACCTGAAACAAAAATTATTCTCTCTTTTTAATTTCACATACTTAAATCTGTTTACATTAACATTTATAAAAAAATAAATATTTTGCTTAATTACTGGTTGTTGCTCAATGTTCAGAAGCAAATATTTGATAATATTCTATACGAAGAAGCCAATATTTTATATCTGATATTTCTTTTCTAACTATCATTTCCATGCAGTATAAATGCTTTCATATAAATGAGTGCAATATCAGTTGGAAAAATGTATGAGAAAATATATATATTAAGTCAAGTAAGTTGAATTAAGTTATAGAAGAACAACTAACATGACTAAAAACTCAACGAAATGTCTGAAATGCTGTTCTTGCAACTCATTTTTCTATTAACTTATAACCTCATGGAAAAATGCCTGAATAGTGTAATTAATAACATTAATTGAGCAAATAAACCTACCACAGCAACCCAATGACACTTCCCGTCATTAATGCACCCAATGACAGTGTCATACTGTTGTATATCGTCCTAAAAAAGTATTGTAAAATGTTATTATTAACTTGCAAACTGATAAAAAAAAAGACCGATGAAACATTAAATACATTTTATAAACAGCAATATAATACCATACACAATACAATATTTAGCATATTGTTTTATTATTTATCATTTGATAATTTACATATATCATCAATATGTTAGAATGTCTTATTATTTTGTTAAAACGTGAAAGGCGAATTGGTAATATCCAGCTTTTAGCTGTAAAAAGAGTAATCTATGTGTAAATCAAAAGCACTTATATAAAAAGAGTTTATAACAGATGATTATATAGTATTATACCTTTTTAAACCAAGTTACGCTTTTCCTCCCTTCAAAAATTGAGGTCAGAATCAGACAATCTGCACGGGACACTTTCTGGAAAACGGAAATATGTATAAAACAAATTGTGTGACAAGAACATTGGATTTATTTAACTGTTTCTATTACATCGGAACGTGAAATTATATAAGGTTTTTCTTGCCTGGTTCAATACTTCTTCAAAGTCAGTATGAAATTACCCATCAAAAATACGAGGAATAAAAGTAAATTCATTTTTCTCATAGTTAATGAGTTGTGCATATATTTCCTTAACGACAATTCCAAATGGGATATAACTCTTATAAGGAATATCCAGATAGCTTCGGTTAAATAATATATGACATCATAAGGGTGTAACGGGTAATTGAGTAAACTAATAAAAGATCGCAGTAGATGTATCTACACGCAAAATCGAGATTGGGGAGGTAACTCTATTAATGAGAGTAAAAAGTCTTCGTTAGGGCAATGGCGAAAGCTCATAAGCTGTACGATATCATATAAAACAAAGTCAAAGCTATATCTGTTAAAAATAATAGCTCAACTTAAAAAAGGCGAACAAAATATAAATAATAATATCAAAATAATGATAATAATTATAATCCTTAAGTAAAGCTAAAAGTCTTTCAACCGAAAGGTAGAAAGACCTTAAATTATATAAAAGGGAAAAAATAAAAGATGATTTAGTGGAACAAATTTTTCATTCTCTGCAAAAAGGGTGGTGGGTGCGAAAGTAACTTTTACAATACACAGTTTACTTTGGTGAAATTGAAAATGAATAAAAAATGCATAAAACAAGTTTAGAATGATAATTCAGATACCCTTAATGGAGGAATGGATCATGTAGAAAAAGCGAAATTAAATGAATTGATCCTGGAAGTTACAAAAAAATAAGCATGCTTTAAAGTAGCCGATGAAAAAATCAGTCAACTCTAAAATAAATGCACTGAAATATGATAAAACGGTTATTAAATAAATACTTTTAATTCGTTTACCTGTACACACTGATCCGTCCGTTTTTGCAGTACACTACAATAAAGATTAATTATCTGAAAAAAAAAAGAAAATGATAAGGTCAGATCTTTTCAATCAGTATGATACAAAGGAAACCATCAACAAAACTAAATATCACAAAGGTGAAGACATACAAGTTTGATCAAGATAACACATAACATAAAGTACCATGATTATGTTATCAGTTTAAGACAGATTATTTAAAAAAATCCTTGTACATTTTATAGAACTAAATAAAATCAAAAGACCTCCAAAAACCTGAATGACTTACCTGCATTTTTTTTGTTGTTAAATCTTTCATCAATGATTATTTCTGCTTTTCAATGGAAATAAAGTAGTGCTTACATTGTCAAATTGGTATTTAATTTTTTTTGGTATCTGTCATATTTTCTTCAATGGCAAAACAATGCATTTTAAACCAATATGCTATTAAGCCATAGTGACTATATTTCTTGGCATAAAAGAAAACACAATTACTTTCAGGCCAGTAACTCTTTAAGGGGTCACAAAAATTAGCAATTTAGTGGCATCAACCAAACAATGGGTAGTTTTATTTGTCTGAAAATGCTTTACCTAATGAACCTTTTCACCAATGTCAGATTTAATTTTATTTTAGATACCCTAAGGATGATTAAGCTTACGTTTGGTTGGAATTGGTTCAGTAGTTTCAGAGGAGAGTTCAAGATCTTTGAAAACGTTTAACCTTTATTACATAAATTAAACCATTAGTACTGTTACCTGATCATTCAACTCCTCCTCAATTTTTAAGCTCATTAAATCCGATACGTAAAGAACATTCCCATACACCGTACCAAACTTTTCGTCAGCATTTCCTTTCCATGAATTCCATATAGTTTCCAAAAATGCTTTAAATAAATAATCATTTTTAACAATCAAAGTAATACAAATAATAATACCTGAAACAAATGACATCAATTAAGTTTCTTTTAAATTTTGGAATTCTACGAAAACAGAAGTGCAATCTTGTTTAGCACAGAAGATCACAATATTTGGGTAGGGTGACCAGAAGTAGCCGCAGTCAATATTATATAAACAATAGGTGCCATATTATTTAAGTCTATAACCGTTTAAATTGCAAAGAGGTAATAAAGGTTTACAAGTTACAGAATGACATGAGGTAATTAATATCAACATATGTGTAGGGTTAGCAGAGTAAGTCAGAAACTATGTAGGGTGACCAGAGGTCAACCAAAGTCACTATCAGTGAAGGGCGACAAGATGTAACCAGTCAATATATTTGTAAGGTAAGCGAATGTTAACTAAGACAATATGCGTAGGGTGACCAGATTTAATCAAAGAATATATATCTGTTTAAATGTCGCAGAGCTAGCCAAAGTTCATAACTTTGTCACCTGACTAAAGTTAACTAAAATCAATATATGTGTAAGATGACCACAGGTTACAAAAGTCAATTACTATGTAAGGTGACCAAATGTAGAGAAAGTCAATAAATGGGAAGGGGTGACCAGAGGGCACCAGTCCATAAATCTGTAGGGGACAAATGTAACCCAAATCTGTATATGTGTGAACTGCCTACAAGTTAACAAGTTTGATAATTGTGCGGGGGTAACTCAGGTCAATAACTTAGTAGGAAAAAAGGTTATAAAGTCATTTTATGTGAAGGGTGACCAGAGGCAACCTAAGCCAATATATGAGTAGGGTGACCAGAGATAACCGAAGTTAATATCTGTGTTAGGTGACCAGAGGTAACCAAAGTTAATATATGTGAAAGGTGACCAGAGGGCACCAGTCAATAAATCTCTATGGCGACCAGATGTAATCTTTAATCAAAATCTATATCTATGTAAACTGCCGACAGCAAACGAAAGACAATATCTGTCACGTGTATGGCGTTAGGAAGTAACCAGTTTCAATATATATGAAGGGTGACCAAAGGTAACCATTGTTTAATCTGGAAGATATGATTTTAGTATGCACACAATTACTGCACAGAGTTTGGTAATTTTAATTTTCCAACGAAAGAAAGAGGTAGGGCCAATATGCCGAGGATTTTTTTTCACAGAAGGGCCAATTTCAAAAAGTGCCGACAGAATAAAATTTACTATAAAAACAAAAAATAAAAATGCTTTTTGATCAATATCTCGATTTACATATAGTATGATATGTGTGATCAATAGTTAATTTAACCCTAAAAAATGATGAAAATCCAATATCCGGATTTTCGGGTGTTTTTATGTGGAAAAAACAGGGAATCCCCCAAGAAGGACATTTCAAACCAAAAAAAAGTTATGCTTTTTATGACTGTTGTTATACATACTACTTTTTACTTCAAAAATGAAATTGGTTTAGTGTGTCCTTATTACATAAAAAACAACTTTTTAAAGAAAAAATTGTAACATCGATAAATTGTACCGATATACCTTCTAAATAAGAGTCATAATGATCAGAATCGCCGTAGCTCCACCATTAGAGCACAGAACTACTAATAAATGATGAATTTGAAGAAAGGGTTCGAACCTCGCTCAGAACTTTTGCATTTTTTTGTGTTGTTATATTAAATTTTAAAGTTTCTATCATATTTTTTCGGATGTTTGCTTGACTCATAGAGTCATTCTGGTTCATTTTGACTATTCAGTTAGTTTACTAGTATATAATTTTACGTGTATCAAAGAAAAATAATGTATCGCTTATTGTGTGCAATCCTATGACTGTCCATACTCTTGAATTACTTTCTATTCATGTGTTTACATTATTACGTATTTCCAAGGGACAACTGCCGTCAAATTGATGTAGGTGCCTGTACATAACCAATAACACGAGAATTAATTCTATAGAAATTAAGCCTACATGTTGCGGGTGTAATATACACATAACTTAAAATAAGGCCATTGTATACAAGTTTCATAACAACAAAAAACAATTCGTCGAAACCTTTTTTGAACATGGTATTATATGTAACAAATGCAGTCAACAACAATTTTGTCGCCAAATCACAAACTGTAAAGATACTAGTACTGAAATTTTTACCACCTTCTATACACGGGTACCTAACTCATCAGAAAAATAAAACAACATAACAGAACAAATCAATTACACTACAAATCGCGATTGTAGGTAAAACATCAAGAAGCTGTTGCATCTGTATCA